TTACTATGCTGACAGATAGTTGTTGACACTTAGTTACTATGGTGACATATAGTTACAGTTGTTGACACTTATTTACTATTGGTGACAGATAGTTACAGTTGTTGACACTTAGTTACTATGGTGACAGATAGTTACTGTTGTTGGCACTTAGTTACGATGGTGACAGATAGTTACAGTTGTTGACACTTAGTTACTATGGTTACAGTTACAGTTGTTGACACTAAGTTACTTTGGTGACAGATAGTTACAGTTGTTGAACTTAGTTACTATGGTGATAGATAGTTACAGTTGTTGACACTTAGTTACTATGGTTACAGTTACAGTTGTTGACACTAAGTTACTTTGGTGACAGATAGTTACAGTTGTTGACACTTAGTTACTATGGTGACATATAATTACAGTTGTTGACACTTAGTTACTATGGTGACAGATAGTTACAGTTGTTGACACTTAGTTACTATGGTGACATATAGTTACAGTTGTTGACAATTAGTCAATATTGGTGATAGATAGTTACAGTTGTTGACACTTAGTTACTATGGTGACAGATAGTTACAGTTGTTGACACTTAGTTACTATGGTGACAGATAGTTACAGTTGTTGACACTTAGTTACTATGGTGACAGATAGTTACAGTTGTTGACACTTAGTTACTATTGGTGATAGATAGTTACAGTTGTTGACACTTAGTTACTATTGGTGACATTGAGTTACTATTGGTGATAGGTAGTTAAAATTGACGACACTTAGTTACTATTGGTGATAGATAGTTACAGTTGTTGACATTAAGTTACTATGGTGATAGGTAGTTACAATTGACGACACTTAGTTACTATTGGTGACATTGAGTTACTATTGGTGACATTGAGTTACTATTGGTGAAAGATAGTTACAATTGACGACACTTAGTTACTATTGGTGACATTGAGTTACTATTGGTGATAGGTAGTTAAAATTGACGACACGTAGTTACTATTGGTGACAGATAGTTACAATTGACGACACTTAGTTACTATTGGTGACATTGAGTTACTATTGGTGACAGATAGTTACAGTTGTTGACACTTAGTTACTATTGGTGATAGATAGTTACAGTTGTTGACATTAAGTTACTATGGTGATATGTAGTTACAATTGACGACACTTAGTTACTATTGGTGACATTGAGTTACTATTGGTGACAGATAGTTACAATTGACGACACTTAGTTACTATTGGTGACAATGAGTTAGTGTTCATGACACTTATCTATAGTTGATGACACTTTGTTTCTGTGAACGACACTATCTATAGATAGAACATGTTATTATACCATCCAATATGTTTCGTTTTTCATACTGCACTTGAAGTATTCAAACTGTTGTTGACACTTAGTTACTATGGTGACAATAAACGTTACATTGTTGACACTTATTTCTGGTGACAGATAGTTAAAGTTGTTGACAATTAGTTACTATGGATCCAATAAGAAGTTGTTGACACTAATTTTTTTAATTTCTTTGTTGGTACACTTTTAACACAATATGGTGATAGATAGTTAGCCACCGTTGTTGAAACACAACATGTCTTCTATTAGTTACCAGCCACAGTTGTTGACACTACAGTTACTACTGGTGACAGATAGTTACAGTTGTTGACACAACATGTCTTCATATAGTTACCAGCCACACTTAACTGTAAACACAACATGTACAGTTGTTGACACTTAGTTACTATGGTGATAGATAGTTACAGTTGTTGACACTTAGTTACTATGGTGACAGATAGTTACAGTTGTTGACACTTAGTTACTATGGTGACAGAAAGTTGGAGTTGTTGACACTTAGTTACTATGGTGACAGATAGTTCCAGTTAACTGTAAACACAACATGTCTTCTACTTAGTACCAGCCACCGGTTAACTGTAAACACAACATGTCTTCTGCTTAGTACCAGCCACCGGTTAACTGTAAACACAACATGTCTTCTGCTTAGTACCAGCCACCGGTTAACTGTAAACACAACATGTCTTCTACTTAGTACCAGCTTCCAGTTAACTGTAAACACAACATGTCTTCTACTTAGCACCAGCCACCGGTTAACTTCAAACACAACATGTCTTCTACTTAGCACCAGCCACCGGTTAACTGTAAACACAACATGTCTTCTACTTAGCACCAGCCACCGGTTAACTGTAAACACAACATGTCTTCTACTTAGCACCAGCCACCGGTTAACTGTAAACACAACATGTCTTCTGCTTAGTACCAGCCACCGGTTAACTGTAAACACAACATGTCTTCTACTTAGTACCAACCACCGGTTAACTTCAAACACAACATGTCTTCTACTTAGCACCAGCCACCGGTTAACTGTAAACACAACATGTCTTCTACTTAGTACCAGCCACCGGTTAACTGTAAACACAACATGTCTTCTACTTAGCACCAGCCACCGGTTAACTGTAAACACAACATGTCTTCTACTTAGCACCAGCCACCGGTTAACTGTAAACACAACATGTCTTCTACTTAGTACCAGCCACCGGTTAACTGTAAACACAACATGTCTTCTACTTAGCACCAGCCACCGGTTTATTTTCATTTTGGAGATCAGAAACACTATATATAATTCATACTAAAATAAATCAAAAATTTTGTTCTTTGAAATATGATTGATATCATAGAATCTCATAGAACGCCCACAGTGTATCTGTGGTTATTCCTGTGAGAATATTTATCACTTCAGCACAGGTGAATACTATATATTTGAAAGCCTATATACACTGGATGTCTATATAGATTGTATGCTCGATATCCGTCCTTGTGGAAAACTTTCCCGTAAACCTTAACGTGGAAATATTTAGAAATGTACATTTGTTTATCTAAAGCAGCAACAGATTTTGATTAATTTTGATTAATCTTAAAATACCTAAAATGATAAGATAATTATATATTCTATGAATAAAGGGAACAATTCTACAACGTGTAGGAAACTTCCTCTGTTATGTCTATAACTTTGTGTTTTCTTGAATTTGTAGTTTATTTATTCAGGTATGCTTCTTGTTTCATGCAGAGAAGAACGTAGAAGGAGGTTTGCTGTTATTTGTATGTTATTCATTTGATCACTATTATATTCCGGCACGTGTTTGGTTCGTCGTTGCTCTCGTGCGTATTTCGTATGGGCGTCTGTATTCCTTGGTGTGGTTTTGCTAAATGGCGTTAGTGTCTTGTCAATTTGTTCACAGTAGTTGTCTTGTGTTCTGATTAGCTAGTTTGTTGTGGTCATATTGTTAGTGTAGTATAGTGGTTAGTTGGCGGGAGTTCGTCAGATGGCAGTCAGACATTTCAGAAAACTGGACTTGAGAGAAATGAGAATGTAAATAGGCTTAACAGTATGTTCACTGTCTCACACTCTCTCCTATCATTAGTAGTATTTGTCATAATTGGATTTTTCAAGTCATATTTCATTTATGAAAAGTCATTGTGAACATCAATGATTCATGAATTATGTCTGTTTTTGTTACACACCACTGATGTTTTACAGTGATCGATTCCATACGCAGGTACGTATCAATATGATGTTTAAACCGTATTAATTAGTTTTTTCTAGTATAAGTGTGTAATATGTTGTTTATCTATGATTGTGTTGCATTATGATTGCTCCTAAATCCTGGTTCCTGCACTCTTTCAGTTGGTTGTGTCATCATGCTCAAAACACTTCCGGTCACATTTCTCTCTTAGATAATCTCTTATCTCTACCTTATCTCATTCCTTCAGATTGGACATCCTCGATTTTACATTCTTAGGAAGGAAACAGCATTCACAGTAGCTACAACACAATCATTGCACTTTGTGGGTCTGTGTGGCGTCAGCGTTACTGATGAAATATCACTTTGAAACCATTCCCACCTGGATTTTTTTCAAACATTGCATGTTTGTATTACTATAAATGGCAAAACAAATACACACTCGAATGTTAGATTTAAAGGCCCAAAGGGCCTATATGATTAATGAACTAACCATGTGACAAGTCATGTTGATCATAAAGTATCTGCGGTGGATGCACTTGCACAGTGCAAATTTATTTAAAGAAAATAAAACAAATAATGATCGAAAATATTTTATTGCATCAAATCAAGTGCGCTTACAGTATTTTGAGAGATATTCTTGATTTTATCAACTGGAATTTGAAGTGAAGAACGGGTTGAGGATGAAAGGTGGTGCTCTCTGATAGGACATAATCTTGTTATACATGTGTGAACAGCTGGGAACCGATCACACGCAAAGTCTTTAAACTAAGATCGTTCAAACAGCAGTTCTTTCAGAAGAGCGGAGTAGGAGACGAGCTAGAGCTGTTTATTGTGCGACACTCGAAAATCGGGTACAAAATAAATTATTTCATCCTAAATGAAGATTCTATTAATTTGTCATTTTTGGGTAAAGTTGAACAAGTAACAGAAGATGATACCTAGAATCTATATGAATGTCCAATACATTTTCTGATGATTGAAACGGCCCAAAGGATGTTTTCCTGGTCAATATTTTAAACTTTGGAATATATAATTAAATCAGTCAATCTTATTATAACATATAGAATAAACACAAAACGAGTTTCTTAAATTTTCTACACGTAAGAACTATGACTATGGAATTAACAATGGTGGCAACATGTTTTACGAATGAAATGACATTATGAATACAGACATATGCAAGTTATCACAAATGTGTCACATAGATTATTATCAGTGTTTGAATTTGCTATCTTAACCAAAACGTTTCTGATGACGATTTTGCTCATATCATTTAAACGCAGAATCTGATATGGATCTATGATATATCCTTAACGTAGCAATGTTAGGAAAACTCCTTCCCTTAAATTCTTCCATGGGTTTTCAAATTCTCAAAGGAATGAGACCAAGGAAAACACTTCATATCAGGCGATTTGTTTGGAGGGCCATAGAAATATAACAGCCGCAGATAATGTCCCTTTAACAATGTTATCCGAAAAGGACATCCGTCATTAAAGTATATTGGATGATTGTCTTTCGCGGAAGAACCTGAAAACCTTGTCCAAATCCATGAGCATGAATAATAGAAGAATTGATAGGATGACGGCAATCATTACAAATCCTATCATTTGACTGCTTCCTCGGGCATCAGAGGCAGAGCTGAGACTGCGCTTGTATCGCGCAGTCTCCTTCTTGTTTCGCCGAAGTAGGACATTCAAATCCTGAAGAATCTTTTTCAAATCTTTTGGTGTAGGCGGCGATGGTCGTGTAGTCGTGGTCGGTGCGAGCAGAGGACACGAACATGTATCTGAGGAAACTGTTGCCTGGGCGTCTGTAAAGAATACCAGAAACAATAAGACTACAATAAATACTACTACAAATGATAATTAATATACTGTAAATCAAAGATATTTCGTGTGATATTTATTTTCGCGCTAATACGCGAGGAGAGTTAATAGCGAATTCTAATATCTCGCGATTATTTGTACGTTAGCAAATCGCAACATAGTGTTGTAGCTAAAACTTATTTCACCTGCAGATCGTACATAACTGTCAATAGCAGTTAACAGGACGATAACCAATATCAAATTCCACCAACCACCTGTTACCTAATATAACCCTGGCTGTTGCAAGGACCTTAAATCCTGTATTTACCAAAATCTATGTTTTGGTGGTAAGATCTTCAAACATGCTTTTGGCATACATATGAGAACTAATTGTGCCGCTCTGTTGACTGACTTGGTTTTTTTTTATTTCATACGGGGAGAAATGTAGTGAAAAGTTTCTCTAAACATGTCATAAAGACCCTGTAAAGTCTTTAACTTACTTCCACTTTCAGATATATATATGGTGACATCTTTTCCTTTAATAACAAAAAATAATATCCAAATCTATCTTAAATACTGAGTTTTCTAACCAGGAAATCACGGACCACAAGGCTGTATGATATACACGATGATTTTTCTTATCGTGAATTTTCCATTTCTGGATAGCACCATTGCTGCACCCAAGACCTATGGCATCCAAGTGTTTGTTTCGAATATCATGTTTCCCGTTAATGAAGATGTCAACTGCCTGATAAACTCGTAACACATGGTTTCAAAAGATACGATATGACGTTGGACGTGTTTGTGCTCGTTCATTTATCTGTTGTTTTCGTTGTCGCATCCTTGATTAGAATGTGCCATTATCTACTTGAATCTACATGGAGGGTGTCATCCATGAGGTACTTACTCTTCTGGAACACCTGGTCTAATCATCAAAGTACATTTTTCAGGAGTCTCCATGTAAATCTTTCTTTTGTTCATATCTAACGCTAACTTTATTGAATATGAGTTTAGATTATCATACATTCCTGTGTTAGTGTTTTAATACCAAGACGTGACAATGAGTATACCACGACATGATTCCAATACTAACCTTGACAAACACTATTATCCTGACAACTCTGTGTATCAGACGCATTTCCTTCACATGACCTGCCGCCATGTTCTGGGATAGGGTTTATACATGTCCTTGACCTTGCTTTAGTTCCGCTGACTATGAGGTCACTTCCTGTGTACGGATTACAGGTCATTGAGCACGGATTCCATGATCCCCAGTTTGACCAATTTCCATCAACTGCAACATGAAGCAATGTTATTTCAAAATTCCGTAAATTAGACCTAACTAAATACCATGACCGCCATGGTGGCAGTGAACATCACATCCCATTATCTTAAATGTCATGGCTTGTAAGTAAGCAATTACATTCTAATACGTATCCAGTGTTCAGGCGGATAATACAAGTTAAAAACTAATGACGTGTTGAGATAAAAAAACAAAACAAAAAACAAAACAAAAAACAAAAAAAAAACAAAAAATCGAATGCCTCCGAGACCTCCCCTCTAAGCTTATGATATCTTCCAGTCATTGTATCTAAGGAAGTGACAAACATTTCAGTCCAAACCTTGCTTGGAAACATATAAGGACATTACAGAGTACAAAATGCTTGTAACCTGTCAAATCGGTTTTCATTTCAAGCATTTGGGAAACAGATTTTTTTTAAAATCTCAAAATGTATTCTCTTTAACTTGCTTTGTCAGCTTTAATTAATCTCGTAACACAAAGCCAGTGGTAGCGTGGTATCGTAATCCAATGGTCGGGTTGCTCTCTTGGCTGAAATATGTGAAATTCTGCCGCGGGGCGAAAATACCTGTACTGTACAATACCTTAAAAACATAAAACATCGAATACTATTGCGTCAAAGGTATTCTTTACGAACAACCTCTAGACACAAGAAATAAATCGAGTCGAAGTTCATATTGAAATAATTTTCAAAAATATATATGTTGAGAATAAAGGAATCTATTGATATTTTTATATTGCTTGCTAACATCGATACATTCACTGAAGCAATAGGAAGTAAACCTTACCTGGGCACCGAGCGGGTTCACATATCCGATTGTCCGAGCTTTGACCAACACAGTTTTTACCATCGTACTTAGGACTGGGTTCTGAGCAAGTTCTGATTCGCTGGGATTGCCCGGATGTAATTACATCGGTAGTACACGTGACACTACAGCTTCCCCATTCTAACCAGGAAGCCCAGTTGCCATCGACTTTACACAAAAACAAAACAAAAAACATTAAAATGTTTTGTTCTTATTTACCACAACAATTCAGCGATTAATCCCTTTTGATATCTTTTTTTATAATCGGAAGCCATCGAGTGAATGAACTGAATTTAAACTGCATGCTTCTAAGGTCAGGAAGGAACGATCTCCTTAGGTCGGCCAGGTAGATACATGTGTTGTTATTGGGTGACCTTGTTTTTTCATTGTATTGGCTATCTTTCTCGTGTCTTTTATGGTGATTTGAAGATACTGTGTGTATAATGGGTGGAGAGTGCGTTGCGTGCGTGTGTGTGTGCGATTCGTTTATGTAAACCTCTTTGTCATATCGTGGAACTGATGCTACCACACTGATGTATACTGCCAAAAGGCAACAAGCAGGCCATCCGGTCATATTAGCTCCGAAACCAGTCTTGGCAATGTTACAGAGCCCAAAGCCCTCCTCCTCTAACGATCGCCATTTTTCTCAGTGTATTTGAAGAGTGCTCGGACAAAAATGTATTTGAGATATCAATTGCTTTTCGGAAGATATCAAAGTATAACACAATGACAAAACGGATAAGAAACATCAAAAAAGTTGAACGCTTAACGCATGTATGAAGCATAAACAACTGCAGGAGATAGGGATAATCGGTATATAGAAGCTGTGGGATGAACTGTAGGATTGAGATAAACAGTACCCAGGATTAAGATAAATTGTACCTGGGATAAACTGTACATAGGATTGAGATAAACTGTACCTAGGATTGAGATAAATTGTACCTAGGATTGAGATAAACTGACTTAGGATTGAGATAAACAGTACCTAGGATTGAGATAAATTGTACCTGGGATAAACTGTACATAGGATTGTGATAAACCGTACCTAGGATTGAGATAAACTGTACCTAGGATTGAGATGAACTGTACCTAGGATGGAGATAAACAGTACCTAGGATTGAGATAAACTGTACCTAGGATTGAGATAAACTGTACCTAGGATTGAGATGAACTGTACCTAGGATGGAGATAAACAGTACCTAGGATTGAGATAAACTGTACCTAGGATTGAGATGAACTGTACCTAGGATGGAGATAAACAGTACCTAGGATTGAGATAAACTGTATCTAGGATGGAGATAAGCGGTATCTAGCTTTAGGAAACAGGATTTTGTTACGATATATCCAATATAGAGGAATTCTTCGGTCGCTTGATACCATATCTCTAAGCATAAAATATGACAATTATTTAGTCAACAAAACTTAATGTGTTTTTAAGAAGGTCAATACGGCGAAATATGGTCCATTCAAACTCAGCCAACATTTTAAAATCCCGAATTTCCCGGACAAATATGGACATAGCAGAGATATATAAACACTTCATTTCCACTTTACGTTAAGCCTACAGTAAAATAAGATACTGATAGAGAAACAAATATACGTATCAATTAATTATATATCTATATCATCGTGTGCCTGTTTATAGGTGAATTAGTACAATACTTATACCCTTGTGTTTCCATATTGGCTACGCCAGTCTTCGATTGTGACGTCATGATATGGGTAATTATATTACCAATGAATTAAAACTGGTGTAACAAAAGCTTCGTCTCCGTTTGATTAATTCCAACATAAAACTTTCAAAACGTAACCTTAGGGAAAACATTTAAGTTTGTTAAAAAGTAACTTCAACATGGTTTCATTTCATACGAAAATTGCCTCGAAGTTTAAATTTTTGCTGGTACATTTCGTGAAATGAAATGAATATCGTAGATCATTTTAAACACAATATACATTTCAATGTCATGATTTAATTGCATCTAAAATGAAATGTAATTTATTTGATGTAAATAGTTTCAAAAGATTCCGTATGTATATGTAGAAATCGTTGTGATGTATGGTTATTGAGAGAAGTTAGGTCCATTTTCAGTATCATCCGGGCACTTACAAGATCATATACCGAGTAATTACCTTATACCTTACATATGTATTGATTGAATGCTTAGCAATAGAAAACCAAACTGCACGTTATAATGTGATCAAATCCATGAATCGTTAACACATCTATAAACAATGTAATACTTACCAGGGTTTGTTGTTATGGCGCAATCCTCATCTATTTCTCCATCTCCATCATCATCTAGTATGTAAAACGTTTATTTTTAGGTAAGAAATTCTGCTGAAGTACTAATGATATGTAAAATTTACAACAGGAATATTAATAATGGAGTGTCACTGCTGACGATAATTATTGTCACGGATGGTGAGGCGTATTAAACATTATCAGCAGGAATATTGATAACGAATTGTCACTGCTGACGATCTTTATTTTCATTAAGTGCCCCAGCTCTGTTGTACTTGGAAAAATATTCAATAAATCATGAGATTCATCTCATTGAACAAACGGAAATGAAAATAAGTTAATTATTTGAACACTAACACACCTAAGGCGTTGTCTAGCTCCTCGTCAATAAGACCATCACAGTCATTATCCACGACATCACCAGGGACATTGGAACTACGGCTGCATGGCTAAATATCAATGTTGATAAATTTAAGATATGTTCAGAATGTAATTGACGCTTTTCAAACAGAGAAAAGAAATTTCTGAAAAAATGATAATGAAAATTGGGACAGGTTTACCTCCCAATCTAAATCTCTATATTACTTTCAATCACTTTGACTAAGCTCAGTCACCTCATGTGATTAACTTAAGCATCGCTAAAGATTATTAGCAGGAAATACAGTTGTATGATATATTAATAATGTGGGTCTACAGTACCTTATATAATTTGTATGAAATGTTGCTATTCACTTGTGTGTTTATTGTACAATCTATGGTAAGTCATTTCATACAGCGACTCAGAAAAAAAGTACAATGATAATAAGACCAGGTGTTCCGGAAAGGTAGGCGTCTCCTGCTTCATCAGTGACACCGCCTTGTAAACCTGGGTTAATCCGAGTAAGTAATATTGTAATGTATAATGAGGAGAGAAGAAATCAAGTTTCCTTTATAAACAGAGCTATTCTGATTAATGTCATCAAACGCCAAACAAGTAGTTCACGTGAAATAAAGTTATCTGGTGACTTTCCCGATGATGGACAATACCAAAAAGTACCATAGACTGCGCGTAAAACTTCCGGTCATCAACATTGATTTTATGTCTATACTTCCGGTCATCAACATTGATTTTATGTCTATACTTCCGGTCATCAACGTTGATTTTATGTCTATACTTCCAGTCATCAACGTTGATTTTACGTCTAAACTTCTGTTGATAAATGGTTGGTTCTCTCCTCTCGGACACATCCAAAAGATTTTTAAAATGACACGCAAGTGAATAGAAAGGTTTTAATTTAAAATTAGATGCAGAAGGCCAAAATGGTCAAACTGCATCATACAGCTGTTTCGCCATTAAAAAAATTGTCATTTAAGCATTTCTAGCATTGCAAATAAGTATAAAATTCGGCTAAATATCTAGGCCTGCTGACCCATTATATGATAATAAGCAAAGAACATCAAACGTTATAAAGTTTTGGTACATGGCAGCCATGGTACTCAACAATTTTATACTTTCACCAGAGCAACTGAAAATAAAAGGGCAAAAATGAACCAATATGATACTATTATCGTGAGAAGTAAAGACATTCAGAAACAAACTCCAAACTCTGTGAGATACCTGTAATCACCTTGTCTGTTGTGAGAACGTAAATGTAAACTCTCAAATCAGAAGTTGAAAAACAGTCACAGCCATCATTGTATACATTTGATCCTGCCCAAACCATGTTAAGAAATCTAGTTGCCGTGGTGAAAGGTCATTATGGTATATGTACTTGGGTTAAATGAATGTCTTATGAGCGAATGTCCATCCTACACGAAGAGTATACATCAAGGGAAAACAAGATGTGTTTATGAAACACAATGCCCACAGTTGCGATAAAATTTAAATCACACTGGAAAGATCTTGACAGAAGGACCGACATGTCAAAATTTGAAAGCCCTACCTCTTACGGCACAATAGTTATGGGCAGACAAACAAACAGACAGCACAAAAACAATATATCCTGGCCCCACTTGTATAAAACATCCCAACTTGAGATTTCCTCAAGCCCAGATTTTCCTCAGCTAATATCTCATTGAAAATATCTTGTATGAAAATTCCTCAAGGAATTTCAGGACATCCTAGCCGAGGACTTCCTCCTGTTCCTTGAGAAAATTTAATATAAGCCGTTTTTGAGGAGATATCAGCTGAGAAAAATCTCGACTTGAAGAAATCTCAAGTTGAGATGTTTTATACAAGTGGGGCCTGATCTTTCGATTCGGGGACATACAAATTAACTTACCCCATTCACATTGGCCAAGCGACTTCCGGCCGGAATGCCGTATGTTTCATACTTCGCCCGTCCATACAGATATCCAGCAAATACTACAATAGGAGATATGTGATAAACCGAATGGTACCCGTCGGATACTATAACGTGTCCACCCACGAGATCAGTTCCAGGTATTTCTACGAACACGGTTTCGCTTGGGAGGCCATTGTTGTCCACTCTCATACCTGACCTCTTGTCAGACTTGATGACAAACAGGAAGAAGTTCTCGTAGGTCCCAAATGTGAAACGCGGCGTACTAAATTGATACTCGGACTCATACTGTTCCATAGGTGTGATCAGAATCATAGCCGGGTCATGGATATCTTGACTGTCCTCAGGGTCCTGGCTGTGCACAAACTGAGCCAACATAATGGCATTATCAGCAACGAAAGAACAGTACTTCTCATATTTGATATGCAGAACAACAGAGTCCCCGGGATTCTGCATAGTTTCAGCAAACCTAGACCTGTTACCAAAACTGTCCGTACATTCCACCTGAACTAATGTGTTAGAAGAACTAGCCACGACTTTGTAATATTCTCCAACTATCCTACCCGGGATGGGAACTGTAGCAAACTTTTTACCCCATTTGTTGACAGAAGGTACAAACTCTTCAAGGTGGTCACTAGATCTGCTTCCATTTCCAATAATAGTTCTTTTATTGCCACTTAAGAATCCCACAGGTTTATCTGTCCGGATGTAGGAGCCAGTTAAATCGCCATCACTCTGTATCTGCACCGAATAAAACCTATCAATGGACAGCCGGATAGTGTCCCCTGGTCCATACGTGTTGTTTTCAAAGACAACTGCGCCAGCATTTGGATTTGTTGAAAGTGTCATTTCTACATCTGTGTTGTTTTCAGTACCGATAACAACAAATTGCGTGGGAAATGTTGATGGATAATAGCTAATTGCATAATATGTTGTTCCCAACGCTGGTTCCGGTAAGGCGAGGTAGGCGTCGTTTGTATACTTCTCACGGTTTACAGCAATAACGACGATTTTCTCCGTTGATTGAACTAGGATACCTTTTGGTGCTACTTCTGTATTGCTGAGTCGGATTGAAGAGTCAAATGTGAGCTTTACATATCCTTCCTTTGGTATGGTGCGTGTTTCTGACAGGTCGTAACCAAGGAAACGCGGTGCGTTGACTTCAACGGTGACGGGTATAGACACGGCGTTCATTATAAACAGTTCTAGATCCTGTTTATTACTTCCGGTATGATGATTGTCAGAGAATGCCAAGAAAAACTTCTTTCCTTTGTTAGTCACGCCATAACAAAATCCTGAAACCGGAGTATAATACGCATTACACTGCAAGCTGGGCTGCATAACGAATTGATTAATATCTCGATGTAATTTGATAAGATTATAATATTAATCTTAAACTTTGTGACGTATTTATTCGAAGTTTGGTTTTCTTATGCTTAACGTCTGTAGGGACGGTCACCCGTGTGCGCGAGGCGAGTTGTTTTGTATAGTTTATTTCAGAAGACTGATATATTTGTGTAAGCCCCCTTACGATAATGAAGGTGTATTACGTGTAAAACATCTTATTCGGTCATCTTGTACTGACAATGGCCAAACCAGTCCTAACATTATTTGAGGTGGAAATATAGTTTGTTGAGGAGCGCGGAGATATAGACAGCCATCCTGACGTCAATTATATCGGCGTGATCAATACTTAATGGTCACTAGCTAAATATTCATGCTTCAGTGCATAACCGATACTCGTATTATCTACCGTAAGTATGCTTCCGTGACACATATGTATGAATTTGTATGACTTTAGGAGGCAACTACAAGTGGGATCTAATCGTTCCCATTTTTCTAGACAAACTCTAAGTATGACATCCTCTCCTTCAGTCATGCTCTCCGCTGTTAAAGGCACGCCAGGGTAAAGACTGGTTATTACATTGTCAGTATGTGACCGAGGTTGATGCTCTGTTGGGTGCCTTCGGCAGTGTATTTCAATGTGATAGCACTTTAAAGACTGGTTATTACATTGTCAGTATGTGACCGAGGTTGATGCTCTGTTGGGTGCCTTCGGCAGTGTATTTCAATGTGATAGCACTTTAAGTAGGTATCAGTTCCAAACTATCATAGGAAGTATTACACAAACATATCGCAGCCTCCCACAAACAAACTCACCTGGCCGTTATACTGTGACCGTAATGAAATGATAATATTTTGCTAAGACTTCACACAAAAATTACAAAACGAGACTTGATATTACCACACTTCCTTATTTACATATTTTCTTTGTGGTGGGGGGTGGGGTCAATGACTTGATATGTGCCATTGTAAAATCAGTCAACAGGAAACCATTAATTTATGTATGTTTTTATTATGTTGTAAATAGATAAATAGATAAAATAGATAAAAATCGAGATAAATACAAATATTCATACAAACTTTAGATTGTGACATATTTAGACTGTGACATTCGGTATCGGTCACTATACACATAAGCCGTGTTAAACGGTCCGAAGCGGACGTCACGTTTTTCACCAGCAACGTCATCAAGGCGTGACTTAGGACGTCTACTAGGAATCGTTGCTAAACCATAATATGATATGAATTGAAGTCTTTACGTTGTGTATACCTCAAAGATTTGGTGAAAAACACGCCAATTCAACATTCGCTTGAATTGTCATATCACAAAAAAGTGATGATGAAAAATTTCTTTTCTTTCACTGTCAAAAAATGTCATCAATGTGGTTTTTTGGTATTTTTTTTGTTTGTTTTTGTTTTTGTTTTTTTGTTTGTTTTTGTTGGTTTTTTTTGTTTTGTTTTTTTATATATATATTACTCTCTACACAAGCAAATTTAATTATGAATCACAGTCTGTTTTCGATTTTTTGTTTCTCAAAAGCTTTCGACAGTGTATGACGGCCAGACATATAAACTTACACAGCACTGAATAAAAAGCAAGTTCCTAAGCTTGAATTACAAAAACAGATAATAATAAATCTGTTTTAACGCCTGCTTCTCTTACTGTTAAAACTCTGATTGCAGGAATTCACAAACTTGGGGTCCCAAATATCTTCAATATTCATGAATTTCAACCCGAATTTACACCTCTATCGCGTCTCTTGTTCGAATACATCTATTCCCTAATCTTCGTACAAATACTGAGAAACTCTATTTGAAGTTACTGTTTTTAAATTCTATTATGATGTTAATGTTTCTTCCATATCCATGTCACGTACAATGATGAAAATGGACAGAAACGGTGACTATAATAGCTCGTTCGTCATATCGTGTTAGTATCATCGAAAGAAAGAAAGAAATGGTTTTTTTCAACATATTCATTTTCTAATGTTCCATATACAGGGAAATTATTACTTTTCGCGAGTAATTAATTTTCGTTGATTTCATGGATATCTTTAAATTCACGAATTCAAATCTTCACGAACAGCAATAATTAGCAAAAGTACATTAAAGAACTAAATTCATCTACAGATGTCCCTGAAATTGTTTTTTTTTTTTGAAAAGCACTAAAACGAAGCCCCACAAAATGAATGATTTCACCCCAATATGTGTCTATCTTCACCTCAGCTTGTGTTGTTTCTTCTGAAGGCTTTAAATCACAATAATTCTTACTGCTAAAGGCCATTAAGAGAATCAGCCAAATATTTAGTGTTTTTTCCTAAAAATATGAAACAGGTGATTTCAATAGTGTGACTTTAGGATTTTTTCTGACCTCCGTGAAGATATAATTCCCGCTAATGTCTTCTTCAACACCACATTTGGACTGCGTTTGTGACAAAAAATGATATAAAATGTATGTTATCTACTTACCACAGGTTATGTAGACCAAAACTACCAAAGATACCTTCATCATTGAACCAGGCACTCTGCTAGAAGTCTAGTCAAAGGCTGACGGATGGAATGTCATTTGGATCACAAATATAAGTTCTAATATCATGGTGCCTTATGTATTATTGATGCTCATCTCGATACGGTAGACAGCATTTGATGAAAACAGATTCACAAAGACCATCGAGCCAAACAACTAAACGATATAAATATTATATGTCACGTACAATATTAGTACAGTTTATAACTTATAATATGTGGATTATGTATAGCATATGTGGATTATGTATTACATACAAAACAGATAATGTATTATGTACGGTGAGAGTAAGTTAAAAAAAACTTGCAGGCGCTAGAACGTACCGGACATTGACAAGACTATAGGATAGAGGTCAGACAACTATACATGTATAGGATAAACGACAATACGTCACGTACATGTAATTATAAGAATACCAAACACTCAAGATTTACTTCTAATTATTGATATGAATAATAAATTGATATGAAAAGAGCACTGCAACATTCATATCTAAAACATATTTGTGTCTTTTCCACCTGTCGGATTGTAATACAATAGTTATACGTAATATATTGAAAGGCGATACTTTTTAGGCAAGATTATCAGTGGAGCTGATTAATACTCCACGCAAACAATTTATTGGTGGGTTTTCTGGTAGTGAATTTGGAAATTTTGGTCTTTTTAATGACACATGCCTGTAAGATAACTTAAGATGGAGGGTTTTGGAGTAGAAGGAAACATGTTTTAGCAGGTTAGAGACATGTATTTTTGTCTGACTTCAGCTCTAAAAGTGATTAAGACAGTCTAATACCTGAGATAGCAGCATGTTAACATAATTATAATCCAAACTAGATTAGTAAAACTAAGGTGAAAGAAACGCGGAGACCCCGGAAAAAGTACAAAGAGACGAAGATGATGTGTTCCTGAGGACTCTTCTGCTTCATCGACCACACCATCCATGTAAACCTTGGTCAATTCAAGTAAGTAATGTCACGTTCTAATATGAGAACATTTTATACAACTACGGAACCAACAGATAAACTAACGAGCATCAAACACGTCCTGCTTCATATCACACAACGGAACCAACAGGCAAACAAACGAGCATCAAATACGTCCAGCTTCATATCACACAACGGAACCAACAGACAAACTAACGAGCATCAAACACGTCAAGCTTCATATCACACAACGGAACCAACAGACAAACTAACGAGCATCAAATACGTCCAGCTTCATTTCACACAAAGAAAGAGAATATTTCTCAGAGATCACTATGACAACAGTTAAGTTTAAATACAAATATCATCAACTTGCCTTTTCTGAAGCTATGTGTTATGGGGTTGTCCATCAGTTGACGACATCGTGATATTGGGTACAGGCCCAAAAACTGAATCGTTCAATAGATTTTAACAATAGTTTAGTGAAAAGATCATCTTCTAAATGAAAGGTGTGTAAATCTATCGAAGAAGACGTTTGCTTCCAAAATTATTTTACAAAATCCATAGACAATTCCATTTTGCTCGAAAGAGAAAAAATAGAAATTTCATCTCACAAATGTTGATATAGGGAAATATCACAATATGGAATGGAATAACAGAATTTGCACGAATGTAACAGTGGTGGCATTAAAGATGAATTAAATGTGAATGATATGCAGATTTTAGGAAAAGTTTCATTAAGAAATACAATTTCGGGACATTTCCTTCAGGTTGGTAGACGTTCTCATAATGCAACTTGTAGAAGATTACAGTGTGACTTTTCGGTGGCCACTTTTATCAGTGTGGAGCTTTCTAGCAATGATGTACGTAGTGTACGAGATGGTAAGGAAACGGCCAGGTTTTTCGGCTATACTATAACACCATGTACACTGAGGTCGAAAATAGTGTGACGAGTTGGTAAACAGATTATATACCAAAAAATACACAAAATGGCAACAACTATTGGTTGAGTTATATGAAATAATATTCTATCTTATAATGTGTTTGGTATAGACCAAGTATATTGAAGTTTATCCAAGTCATCAGATCTGTAAAAAAGAAGAGAATTATCAAATTTATCAAAATTTATCATAATGAGTAACAAGTACAGAAATGGCGAGATAGTGTGTATCTCATTTTTTATCACACCTGTAATTGTTAGGTATCGTTTATGGGAGCTGGTGAAAGCGATCAATAATTAAATAGCCATTGTTTTGCTTTAAGGGACTATTATTTGATCTACCATTTGTTTGTCCTAATAACTGTTTAGTAGGGTATATACATAAAATGATACAGGACTCCTTGATTTGATCTTTAATATACAATATTCTCGAGGGACCATACCAATGTCTATATACCTA